CTGTCCAGGGTTGGCTGTGGTGTGTTCAGCCATCCCCATAACCCTAGAGTGGGACTATCTCCCTCACCAGTGGGGAGAGGAGGAAAGGATCAGAACATCCGAGGCCCTGGAGGTTGTCCCGGTGTGGAATCCCTTCTCCACGCATCGCATGAGTGGTCCCAGCCTGGTACTGAAAGGAGCTTTTGTCTGGGTGAGAGATCATTTTCCATGGGCTGGAAAGGATGATGAAGAGTTGTTCCTGGTAAGGGAAGGGGGTGAGCAGGTTCCAGCACAAAGGAAGGGAGAAGGGGTCCTAGCAACTCTCCAAGAATTCTGAGCGCTCGAGGGATCAGAGGAGGCGCCTCACAACGCACCTCCAGAAGCCTGCTTCTCTCTTTGTAGCCTTTCATTCTCCTGTTGCACAACAGCGCCTGCGGTGGGCCCTGTATCTCTGAACTTGACAGGTGAATAAAGGTTTAGCTTCCTGAGAGTGTCTAAACCCCGCTCTGAGAACCTCACCCAGCCGCAAGCAACCTCCCATCTGGGTCCAGGTGCCCAGGGCGCCCTGTGCATTGAGAAACATCCTCACCGTGACCACCAGGGGGCAGCCGCTCCCGGAGTCCCTTCCTCCGCGCATGGAGACCGGCAGAAAAACCCAGTATTTTTGGAAATATCTGCCATACCTGGCTACAGCTCAACTCACCTCAAGTAGACAGACACACCAGTGCACCTGAGGGGCCAATTGCTCTAAACCTCCTGACTCCTTTTTGTATTTAGATGTGTTTTATGTATCCAAGGAGTCTGCTTTTTTAAAGAATTTACCACTCCTTACCAGCTCATTCATAGCTTTCTGTACGTTTCTTTTGTCCTTAAGCCCTCATAGCCTCTGATTCTCTCTCTTAGTCTGCTTTACTATTTACACTGCATTTGTGCCCATGGAGAAGTCGTCTACTGACGTGGAGTTAAGACAGGGCGTGCTCTCTCCAGAGCCACAGGCATTAGTCTGCACTCAGCACGGCCTTGCCTGGGGATTCAAAGACTGTGGAATCCATAACCGTTTGCTCTGCCTGTCAGATTATTTCTAACTGTTATTGTGGCTACTAGCGAATTAAGATAGTGTCTTGAGGGGAGACTGAAGTTCAGAGCCAGCACAAAGGCAATATTTCAAACCATATTCTCATAGTTTGCAACACAGCTTCCTTTTGGCTGGTTTCTTTTTTTTTTTTTTTTATGACCTGGCTTTTGTACTCGACTACCTTATGTCTCTCTAAGCAGACCTCTGGGGATACAGTGCAGAGGGTATTAGAATCCTTTTTGAGAGGAAATTGTCTGATATTATGAAATGATATCCTATAAAAAATGATCAAGTTGAGTTAGTGCATACAAAAGAATAAAATCAGTGGTGTTCACGACATCTTTGCTCTTGTAGCCAGTGGGATTACTGTGCCCCTCCCAGCAGAGCCTCGTCATTCCTTCTCCACCCCCACAGGCCTCCAGGAGTCCTCGGCTTGTTAAAGCAGCTGGAGGAGGGAGGGAGCCGGAAGTTAGGGAAGCAGAGCCTCTGCTGGCTTCCTCCTTTAAGCAACTGATGACCTTGGGCGTGTCCTTGAACCTCCCTGGGCCTCAGTTTCCACAGCAGTGAGGTGACAGTTAACTAGAAAGTGAATGGTCCAGTTAATCCTCATGGAGCTAGCTCTTCAAGGCCAAGCGTCCAATGAATTGCACACAACATATCTACTCTGGAGACGTTTTAAAGCCATCCGCCCAGCCAGGCCAGGTGGCTCCAAGAGAGGTCAGGCAAAGGTGACATTCTTGGTGTTGCCTAATTTACCCCAGTCCACGGTCAACCCTCAGTCTTGTAGGAGGCTCAGGGGCCTGATTTGCACAGAGAGAGGGTCCACCTCGCCCAGGGCGGGCTCCCACAACTAGTTCCAAGAGTCTGAAGAGCAAAATCAGAGTTGTAAAGCCCTCTTCCACAGAGATGGAGGGAGGGGCCTGGCGTCTGAATGGGAGAGTCAGATGAACAGGATGTACTCACGGCGCCGGGTGAAGACACCTCATGCAGCATCTCATGGTGAGGCTGGACCTGAGGGTCCCTTGGCCGGGACCACAACTGGGGGACTGCTGCCAGCAATTCCACCTGTTTCTGCCACCAAGGCCGGGCAGCCCTTCCAGTGCAGGGTCCCCTTTGACTCTGCTTTCTAGCAAGTGTGGTCTGGGGCTGCCCAGGAGCTATTCTTTCTCCTTAAAGCAGAGGTTATAAACTGGTGGTCTTTGGGAGGAAGTCAGCTCAAGGTCATATTTTGTTTGGTCTACACAGTTTTTTAAATTAATTAAACAATTAATTAATTTAGTGAGGAAGATCAGCCCTGAGCTAACATCCATGCTAATCCTCCTCTTTTTTGCTGAGGAAGACCGGCCCTGGGCTGACACCTGTGCCCATCTTCCTCCACTTTATATGGGACGCCGCCACAGCATGGCCTGACAAGCAGTGCATTGGTGTGCACCCAGGATCCGAACCCCGGGCAGCCAGCAGTGGAGCGCACGCACTTAACCGCTACGCCACGGGACCGGCTGCCCCCCCCCCCCCCCACAGTTTGTTTAATTGAATTAGTTGCCAACATTTAAAAACCAGGAGATTTTAAATAAATATCCAGACTTCCAGCTTGTTTTAAAAATGCCCAAGTCCATCAAGACTGTGCTGCATTCCCAGCTGGTTGAAAATGCCCCAAGTTGAGCGGCAGCAGCAACCTCCCCCTTAGAAGGGGGGGGCTCTATAATCTGCCTCCATCTCCATCTGCCTCCGTCTCCCTCTGGGCTTTGCTCTGTTGCTTTCTATCTGTGGGCATCATGGGGTTGACAGCAGAGTTTAACTATCCACAGGCAATCTTCCTTCCTTCTTTCCGAGCCCCTGGGACTGCCTCATCAGAGCCCCTCAAGAACCAACTTCCACTTTCTAAAAGTATCATAGTGAGAGTCAGAGAATACACACCACAGATTGTGACAAAAGACTTTAATTTTTATAAGAAAGATCTTATTATTTCCTCAAAAGGCATATTGTGCTATCCACTGGACACAAAATATTGCACACGAAATATTCACTGAGATCCTGTATTTAAAGAGCTCAGAATAGCATCTGGACATAGCAAGTACCCTACACCCGTTAAACCAAATTTTAAAATATGGCAACAAGCATTTGAACATTTGTGGCTTATAAGAGGCTTGAGGGGGCTGGGGAAGGAGCTGAAGGCCTGGTCCGTCAAGGACAGAGAGGACTAAGCTCACGGGATCTCCCTTTGCCTTAAAAGTCGCAGGAATCTCAGTGGGGGGGAGGGAACTGGTGATAAAGAGCCAGTCTGTGTGCCTGGAATCTCAGAGTCAGTTGCCTCTGGGAATCACACTGCCGCTCACATGCTCTCTGGGTCCCTCTCCAAACCTGCACACCCAGACTGCCTTTCCTTCAAAATATGTGCAGGAAACCCACACAGGGGCCAGGAGACGCCAGCAGTCATAAACGGGCTTCCAGTGGCCCAGGAACCCCCGAGATGTTGGGCAAAATGTGTCCATGTGCATTTTGCAGGTGGAGGGATCAGAGCTTTCATTAAATTTTCAAAGGACTCTGATCCAAAGAAACACTCATGTCGAGGACTATAGTAATCCATGCCAGAGGTCAGCCCCAGCGATGTCCCGACCAAGAGCCCCTGCCTCCAAGCCCCCCGGAGGAAGTGACATTACATAAAACAAGGACTGGAGTGGGACGGGACCCAATTCGTCCATCTGAGGACGGCCAACAGTGCTTACCTGTTGCTTTTAAATTTATATTCTGTGCAGGTTTTTAACAACTCTGTTTTATTTAAATATTCTGCCCTCTTCAGGAATGGGCGAGCCTTCAGGATGTCACAGAGCCCTAATGCTGTAGATGGCAGCTGCAGAAGAGAGCTGAAAGCCGAGGGCACACATTCTCTCTGATTCTCAGGTCAGGTCACAAGAATGAGGCTTTCTTCTACTGCCATGAGCAACTCTCCCAGGACCATCCACCTCCACCCACAATCCCTTTCACAGCTCTCGTGTGTGAGGGAAGTTTCCCGAGGAGTCTCTTGTCTCGTAAGAGAAGGAGTGCAGAGAGGGAAGCACTGTCTCTGGGGTGGGGTGAGAGGCTCTGCATGAGATTCTTGTGGCTGCTGTAACAAAATATCCCAAACTGAGTGGCTTAAAACCCTAGAAACTCATCATCTTACAGTTCTGGAGGCCAGAAGTCTGAAGTCAAGGTGTCATAGGGCTGTGCTTCCTCTGAAACCTCTAGGAGAGAATCCTTCCTTGTGTCCTCCAGCTTCTGGAGGTGGCCATCAATCCTTGGCACTCCTTGGCTTACGGTTACATCACTCCAGTCTCTGCCTCTGTCGTCATATGGGGTTCTCCCCATGTGTCTGTGTCCAAATCTCCCTCTTCTCCAACGACATTAGTCAGATTGGATTAGGGCCCACCCTAATGACCTCATTTTACCTTGATTACATCTGCAAAGACCCTATTTCCAAATAAGGTGACATTCACAGGTACCAGGGTTACACCTTGAATGTATCTTTTGGGGACCACAATGGTCATGTCACCTCAAAAGGCCCTGCCACCTAAGTCCCATGTGTTGCCGCTTGCCCACACCCACTTCTCCCCCCGAGCTCTTGGGGTGGTGGCTGCACCACCCACCTACCATGATAGCTGAGCATCTTCCCCTTGGTCTACAGAAGTAGAAATTTTTTCTCCTGCATCTCAGTCCTGTAGGAAGAGAGTTCCTTTGAGACTGGGATATGTGAGTTGGAAGTGTGTGTGTATGTGTCTCTGTGTGCACATGTGTGCCTGAGGGTGTGAGCGTGTGTCTGCGTGTGTTTCTCTGCGTGAGTGTGTGTGTCTGTATGTGTGTCTGGGGGGCAGATTCCTGAAGGGTGGGCATAAGGGAGGAGTGGGAGGCAAGAAGGGAAGAGGAGGACAAAGCCACAGTAGTGAGGGTAGAAGTGATGAGGGCAGAACAGGCAGCGTCCTATAACAAGAGGGGGACAAATTGTGCTTGTGACAAATATGGAAATATGACGCCTTTCGTCTCAGTCCCATAAGGTAGGTATATTAGTTACGACATTGATTCTGTTACTTTAACAGAAACCAAAATAACAGTCACTTAAGGAAGATTGGAGTTGGTTTCTCTTTCCCATAAAGTTGGAGCTGGGCAGGTGGTCCAGGAAGGTAGGGACACCCTGCTCCATGATGTTGCCCAGGGACCCACATTCTTCTTGCTCTGCCATCTATGACATACTGCCCATTTCCAGAGTCAAAGCTGGCTCACCACCTCATCCATGTCCCAGCCACTGGAAAGGGGGGTAAGGGAAGTGGAGGACACCTCCTTTCCTTTTCAAAGATAGTGCACTCACCACTCCCACTTCTACTGGCCAGAACTTTATCACATGACCTTGCTAGCTGCAAGGGAGTCTGGGACACACAGCTCTTATGCTCAGAGGCCATGATCTCAGGGATTCTGCTAAAATTAACAAAGCAGGGACAGATATTGTGGCACAGCTGACAGTCTATTATACAAGGAATGTGATTTTAGAAAAACAGTGTTATTAATCCACCCTTCACCCCTTACAAGAGCAAAAAACCCAACTGTATCCACATAGTAAGGAATATAAGAGGCCTATGACTAGAAGAATCAGATCGTCAAGTAGGATTTGTCCAGTGTTAACGGGTTGTGGGGTCATGACGAAAGCTCCATCTCGGGAAGGTATGCGCTGGGTCGTTCTATAGCCAGCTCGTTTTCGATGACGTAACAGCCCCTGTAGCTCTCCAGAATCCGGGCCTGGAAGTACTTCTTGTCCTTCTCCTGCCACGTGTCGGACTCGATGTAGACGTTGAATGGGTCGTGGGAGTGCTCCAGCTTCTTGGAGCGGATGTAACTCAGCATGATGCCCAGGGTGAAGAAGCCAAAGAAGCCGAGCACCATGAGAATGTAGAGTGCCTCCAGCTTGCCGTCGTCATTGCCGGGGGACCTGCGCACCGGGCTAGACAGGTTGCCGCCCTCTTGGACTGTCCCCTGCCACAGCTTGGTCAGAAAGGGTGTCACGGCCGTGGTGTTAGACAGGATCATCCTGGGCTTAAAGTTTCCACTGCTGGAGAGCGAACTTCCTGGGCAAACTTTCTAAAAGAAAAGTGCAACCTGAGATCAAAAAGTATGTATTGGCCAAAACCCTCACATACGCGCACACACACACATACACACAATGTTTTAAAATCCCAGGTGAGAGGGATGTCCTAACATACTCCTCAGTCCATGGCGCCCGCCACCTTGGATCTGCACAACACCCTCTCTTGATTGATCAATTGATAAATTCCCTTTTATTTCCATTCACCGCTCCCACCTCCTACCTCCAAAGGTGACCACTAGAATGAGTTCCTTTAATATACACATTGAGTTGTACGTGTGCATTTTCGTTTATGTGCTATGGACTGAATTGTGTCCCTTCTCCCAGTTCATATGTTGAAGCGCTAACTCCCAGTGTGTATCTGGAGATAAGGTCTTCAGGAGGTAAATAAGGTTAAATGAGGCATAAGGGTGGGGCCCTAATCTGATAGGACTGTGGCTTTATAAGAAGAGGAAGAGAGAGAGATCTATCTCTCTTTCCCATGTGAGGACACAGCGAGAAGGTGGCCATCTACAAGCCAGGACGAGAGCTCTCACCAGAAACCAAACCCCTCTCTGCTCACTGCCCCGCACTGAATGGCTCTCACGGACCATGTGACAGTTTTCCATCACCTTAATCTGGGTGTCACTGTCCCTAAATATCCATATAACAGGCCTTGGAATTGTAAAGTTGTCTCCAAGTAGCCTTGGAATTCTGTCAGGGGGTTCGTGTGCTCTGAACCCCACCCAGGTGGCCTTGCAATCACTGATAAGCTAAAACAGGTTTTACTCATTTTTTTGTTTGAGACAATGCTGGCCTCTAGCCCCAGTTCCTGCTGGGAAACAAAATCCCAGGGCCAAGATGATGAGGCCACACTCCAAACTCAACCCAGAAGGGGCCACCGAGAGCTGATCAGACCTAAGTGGTCTCACTCATTTCTCAGGACCTTCAAAGGAGTTGAGTATAGCATATGCACCCTTCGGGCAGCTGTTGGGGCGCAGGGTGAAGGGTGTGTTTGGGAGCATAGTTTCCGGCCAAAATCTCTGTGGAGAGAGATTCCAATGTACGCGGCGGGAGTGAGGATGGTGCTTGGGCTTTCCCAGCTAGGATGGGGACTGTGACATCACACACTGTCTTGCTGAGGACAAATGTCAGCCTCAGAAACCTGGCTCCACTCCACATTGGACCTGGAGCTACTTCTTCGTAGAATTGGCTTAATTTTCAAACTTATACTGAAGCAGCACTAGGTAAAGACTCTTGGCACCTACCCTACGCCCTCTTCCTCCACCCATCCCTGAGATGTTGGTGCGCCACAGAGTTCCATCGCTGGCCCTCCTCTCTTCCCACTCCGCCCTCTCCCTGGGCGATTGCACCTGCTCCTGGAGGTTCACCTGCATGGCCATGACCCCAGGCACCCTTCTGAGCCCCAGAGCAGCATGTCCAATAACCTGCCAAGGAGTCATTTACCTTTACCAGCCCCGGGCTCCTTAAACTTAACACCCGACGCCTCCTGCTAAAGCCTGCTCCATGCCTCAGTGAGCTGAGCGGCCGTGTTATCCACCCCGAAATCTGAGTCACCCTCGCTGCAAATCCCATCATGTCAATCCCCAGCTCAAAGCCTTCCTTGGCTCCTCCCCCTCTTTAGGGTATAGTGCCCCGTCTTCAACACAAATACTGACCCTAAATGGGAGAGGCCCTTCCTCTCTCTCCTGCTCCACACTTAGCCCAGATCCTGTGCTCCAGCCCTGTTGGCCACTCATGAGTGCTATACACATTGTCACCTGTTTGCACGTCTCCAGCACAGGCTGCCCCTCCTTCTCAGCCCATGAAACTCTGACGTGGTGCCTACTCGTGCTTTAAAATTCAGCTCAGCTCTCCCCTTCTTCCTGAAGTCTTCTCTGATGTGTGGGGCTGGGTTAGCACCACCCACGCCATGCCCTGTTCATCACAGTCATCATCTCTGTCCCCCGACCCCGTCCCCCACAGTCTCCCTAGTCTGGTGCCTGGCACACAGCAACACAGGAGATGTCCATGAACTTAATACCTCTCGACGGCTGGGGCCTGATTCTTTGTAGCCACTTATCTAGTTAACAGAGGCCGATGAGCTGCCTTCCGAGATTTAGCTGAATCCCTTTTCAAGAAGGGCAGCTGTCTCCCTGCCAGAGCCACGGGCTCAGAGAGCACGAGGGAGGAGCAGAAAGCATTCGGATGTTGGAATTACATCTCCCTCCCCGGTTTGGATTCTGGTCCAGCTGCCTTCCGGCCACACGACCCCGATCAGCTTCCTTAGGGCGGCTCAGTCCCGTCTTTTTCCCTTCATGAAATGGGGAGAAACTGCGCTGACATCGGCAGCTGTTGGATCACTGGCCAGGTACATAGAGTGGCTGACATAGCGTGTGACACATAACGGTGCACACTTAGTGTCCCCAGTGTGAGTGTATTGGTTTTTCCACCTCGTTAGGAAAGAGCAGCCCAGGGATTTGGGGTTTGGGGTTTGAGGTTTGGCTCTTCCATGGCTGACCAGTGTGGCTCTCTTCTTTACCATGTGGAGAAGCTGGTGGTGAATGAGAAACACGTGTTTGCAGACTTTCCTGACATCTCCGGGGATCTTGAGGCTGTGCTCAGAGATCTGTTGGGGCTAAGCTGCACGGGATCAACAGACTCCCAGGTGCTGATTCTTAGACAAAACCTGCATTCTGCCCCATTCTAATCACGGGGTGGCAGGAATCATTTGGTAACAATCTTTTTCTTAAAAGCTTAGACACATCGCTGCCGGTCTGCTGGAAATCACTCAAGACACAAGGCTACCGGGCAGCTGAGCCTACTGAACACGGTGCCCAACATTTGCTTTCAAAATGACTTAAAACCACTGATGAATGCATAGAACCCTGCCCCAGAAAACAGACGGGCCTTGAGCTGATAATGCAATTTTTTTTCCAAAAACCCAGAGTGACCACAATTGGCAAGTAATCCTGGTACGAATTACTGTTATTAAAGAGTTCTTATCACTTAGTGACAACGTGAGACTAGAATTACGGCAGATGATCTCCCAACGTTCCTTGGTTTAGAACCCATAGATCCACACAGTAAGTTAACTTAGAGTAACTTCGGCAATTAATTCATATTGGTGGGTTCACTGAGGAGACCTGTTACTTAAAACCACATGGACTTTTCTATGTCTGAAAGAAGCGACCAGAAACACCAGCTTTAAAAATCTGTCAGGCCAACCATCCTCAGACTTGCTGTAAGGCAGTGGTGCTCAACCTTTAGCATGCTGTAGAATCACCTGGTAAAAACGCAGACTGCTGGGCCCCACCCTCAGAGTGTCTGATCCAGAAGGTCTGGGGTGAGGCCTGAGAATTTGCATTTCTAACGGGTTCCCAGATGATGTTGATGCTACTGGTCCGGGCACCCTACTTGGTCACCTGTTAGAATAAAGTGAGGAGCTTTAAAAAAATACCAATGCTTGGATCCCACCTCAAAGACTGTGATGCTCTTGTTCTGGGTTCCTCTCTGGCATCAAGACGTTTAAAAGCTTCCCAGGGGGCCGGCCCCTTGGCCTAGTGGTTAAGTTCGGTGTGCTCCACTTCGGCAGCCTGGGTTCACGGGTTCAGATCCCAGAGGAGGACCTATACCACTTGTCAGCCATGCTGTGGCAGCGACCCACATACAAAATAGAGGAAGATTGGCATAGATGTTAGCTCAGGGCTAACCTTCCTCAAGCAAAAAAAGAGGAAGATTGGCAACAGATGTTAGCTCAGAGCGAATCTTCCTCAGCAAAAAACAAAAACAAAAAAGCTTCCCAGGTGATCCTAATTTGTAGCCAAGATTGAGAACCATTGGGCTATGGTGTGGGACCTTAGGAAATTGACCAATTAGTCTTTTGTGGTGCCAGGCACCTGGAAGAAACATGATTTTATAGCATAATTTTCAAATTGCGTTTGTTTTTCAGATTTTTTTTTTTTACATGTCCCTGATGTGATCTGAAGAGAAGTTGCAGAGAGAAATTCTCAAGTCTTCACTGTAACCTCAGCAGCCCCCATCCTAACTCACACTGGCACCTGAAATTGTGATGAGCCTGCTATAGCTTTATGTTGGACCAGAAAAATCAATTAACTGCCTTTCAAATAACAACTCTGAATTTTCAAAGAAAACTCTTTTTCTTCCTTTACATTTAATTTATTGTATTGCTTTTGCTAACTGCCCTCCATGCCCTCAAAGCCTGCATGCTGGGTCATGTGGGGTTTCTGTGTAATGAGTCTCAAATGAGTTTGGCAATGTCCACTTAATAGCACAGAACCCAATCTGCATGTCCCCTGGCGGTTTATGTGCCATTTTCCAAGTTCACTTCCATTATTATGCCAAAGCGCTGCCAAGTGGCCGTGGTTTAGACTATTGGACTCCAGTGGATCTGGAGATCAACTGATCCAACAATCTTAACCTACAGAAAACTGGGCTCCATAGAGGTGAGCTGACCTGCCCAAGGTCATGTCTCCTATCAAAAATACATCTAAAATTTAATCTTTTCGCTATGGACTCACAATTTATTAGTATAGAAAAGGGAGTTCTCAGAGAGAAGAGATTCTGCAGAGAGGAGATGGATTCTGTATTTAGGCTCAAAGGAACTGAGGACACAGCCACTTGTATCAGGTAAAACTGGGTCTACCCAATTAGGCACTGGCTTCTAACCTAAATGTGCCATTAAAAGTGCCCCCTCCCCGCCAGGGGCCGGCCTGGTGGTGTAGCAGTTAAGTTTGCATGCTCCGCTTCAGCAGCCTGGGGTTCATAGGTTCAGATCCCAGGTGTGGACCTACACACTGATCATCAAGCCATGCTGTGGCAGCATCTCACATACAAAATAGAGGAAATTGGCACAGATGTTAGCTCAGGGCCAATCCTCCTTACCAAAAAAAAAAAAAAGAAAAGTCCTGCCTCCCCCCAGGGAGAACCACGGCTTCTTATAGCAGGCACAGTGACTAGAGGGCTGGGGGAGGCAGAGGCAAAAGGAACAAGGGAGGCCCAACTCCAAGCACAGCCACTTGGATGCTCAGCCTGTGCTGAACATTCTCGAATTCTGGCCTTGTTGGGCCCAGAAAGAGGGGAGGGAGGGGTTCTAGAGGTTTCTGCTTCTTCCTGGGTTTGAGACTATTCATGACGCATAGACACTGTCCCCAGTCAAGGTTAGCGCAATTTTTTTCTTCTTCCAAGCTTAAACCCAGAGCTGCTGGTCTGCTGGAAATCACTCAGGACAGAGGGCTCTGGGCAGCTGAGCTGAGCTGAACAGCTGCCAACGGAGACCAACTGGGCCTGCCCCACCCTGGGATACTGTAAGACCCCGGCTGCGCCCAGAGGAGAAGGGGACAGTGGGTGACGTCACGCTGTTCCTGGGACACACCATGCCTTCTGCATCTCTCCTGCATGTTCCAGCTATGTCATCTATCAGCACTGATAACAGCCTGGAAACTTTCAGAACAATTTCCCAGCACTGCATCTTTCATTCTTTCTTAAGTATTTACAGAAATGAGTTCAAGGCTTGTGGTTGACTCTGAGCTTTCTTCTGAGAGAGATAGATTCTGGGGGTGAGCGAGGGAGACGGGAATGTCAGATTCAGAGCTCAGGGATCTGAGTTCCCGGCTCCCATCTCAGTCCTAGATAAACCACACGCTCCCTGGGCCTTGGCTTCTTATCTAGGGAGGATGGGGATCACATTCCTGTCATTCTTAACAGCGTTCTTCAAGCATTTCCTCGAAAGAGCATCCAGTCTTGAAATCATCATTAGGCCTTATTTGTTTTAGGGAACAGAATTAAGGTAAAAACAATCATGGATAAGCCTAATTTGGGTGAATATGATCTTACCGAGTCAAGAATTCCATGAGCCAACTTTCCTTGGAAGCAATTGTCAACTGTTTTCATCTTTTATCGCAACACTGTGTCCAAATTCTGGAGATGTATTTACCTCCTAGCAGAAGAGGACCAGCAGGGGCCCCCAGACCCTTCCAGGCAATTAGCTGGATCTTCTCACCTTTCCATCTCCCAGGAGGCAGTGAGTCACCAAGGTGGCCAAGGTCTCAACAGCATCTGACTGCCCTGGCAGATCTGCAAAGGGCTTTTTGCCACCTCCCTGCTGGACGTGGGGGTGTGGCTCTTGAGTCTGGTCATAAGACCCAGAGCTTTCCAGACCTCTCTGTGGGTGAAAGAGGGGGGCTTCGGGGTGTGAAGGGTAGAAATGCGAACCAGTGGGCTGGTGAAGGGGACCCCGTCAAACTCAAAATGGGAAAAAGGACGAGCATTTTATGTGGAGAACGGATGACCGCAGGATTCCCAGACTTTGGGAAGGCAGATGAAGTCACACAGAAGGAGGGCAGATGGAATCTCACCCTCAGCAAATTAAATCAATTCAGGGAGCCTCAGTTTCCCCATCTGAAAACTGAGACTATTGGAATCTACCCTGACTATACCACAGGGTTTTATGAGGCATGGAACAAACCCACAGCTTTCCTATCTCTTGCCTTTGCTGTTCTCTTTGCGAGAGAGGCATGCCCACTATACTTGCTTGTCGAAATTCTACTGGTCTTCCAAAAGCCCACTGCTATGCCAACCTGTGTGTGAGCCCCCCATCCAGATGTCCCCGCCCTTCTCTACCCCTCATAGCGCCTTGTCTATACTACTCATTCTAACTTGTATGGTAATAATTTGTAGACTGGTCTGGGCATTTCCTTCTAGGAGCTCAGGAAGGTCAAAGACTGTCTCCCTCACATTGACTGCACTCAGGACTCAGAATGTTTCCCTGCAGGTTTGCCAAATTAAATGAAAATGCAAAGTATTAGATGCAATACGACTAGGGGAACGTGAGAGTAAATAATTGATAAAGTATAATACACTGGAAATAAATTGGTGGGTAACCAAATGAAAACCTCTTTCAACATAGTATTTTTTTATATAATAAAATGTAAACTATTTTTATCTGCTCTATTAGTATTATTTATTTTGTATATTAAAATTTATATTAATATAGTTATATATGTATCTGGAAGCCACTCTATTCCTAAAAACGTTTAAGGCAGTCAGGAATTGTTACTAACACAGCATTTTTTCATCCCTCTCCCCTGCTTCTGGGAACCCTTACTCTGTTTTCCTTTCATCACCTGCTGATACAGTATAGTTTTCTTATTTATTGTGGTCATTACTTATTGTTTGTCTTTTCCACCAGAATGTAAGCTTTGGAGGACAGGGATCTTTCTGTGTGTTGTTCCCCATGTACCCCAAGGACTAGAACAGTGTCTGGCTTATGATAGGAGCACAGTAAATATTCACAGGATGCAGGCATGCATGCATGAATGAATAAATGTCCCATTCAACTACCAGAAATCCCCGAAACCACACAGAAACTGTCTCACCAGCTCTACCTTCAGAGACGGAAGACGACAGGAGTGAGTCCCTCTGATGTCTTCAAAGTGAACTTTATTTTCAAAACAATCCACTTTCTAATAGCCTGTCAAAAGCAAGACATACCTGAATATTCTGGAAACTGAGAATGCCTTCCTCAGACCCATCCTCAGCCTACCTCTGATGAGCAGCATGGCAGGGCGGAGACGGCAGAAGGTTTTGCCCCTCGTTAGAAATCCGTAGATCAGAGTCAAGGCGCTTTCTGGCAACTCACTCATCACACGGGAATTAAATCAACTGTGTGATCGCAGCAGAGTTGCCCACAACCGCGACCGTAATGACAACGCTGGTTACTGACAAGGCCCTTGTTAACGGAGCTGGGAGTATGCATAAACGTGAACTTAAAATAAACTGTCAGTTCATATATAGCAGTCTGAAAACACCGGGGTCTGGGCGCTGTAACGTAATAGACTGGGCGCACACACACACACACACACACACACACACACGGCTGCTACTCGGTCAAATTTCTTCTAAAAGTTCCACATTTTCCCCAATTACTACAATCAAGATCAGATACCAACAATGTTCTCCGTGTCCCATGCCTCTTCCCCCCGGGAGATGCCAAGGCCTAAGAATCTTCCTGTTCAAAATTTTAAAGAAGTTCCCTTTGAGGCCGGGTGTGTATGCAAGTATTGCCCGAGCTGGAGGTCTTTGAAACTAAGTGCGGACTGGGGTGGTGGGCGGTTTTAGTTTTCTCTGGATGCTCTTAGGTATTTTCCAAATTTTCCACAAGAATGACTGTAATTTAATCATAAAGGAAAATGTTGTTGTTACTCGAGGGTGAGATGTTTTTCTATGCATGCGTTCTATAAGTGAAGACGGGTGGAGGGAAAGGAGGCAGGAGGCCGAGCCATCTCTCCGGTTCCCACTACAGCGGTCCCGGCGCCTCCAGCCTGGGGCGCCCGCTGCGCGCCCGGGGGCTGAGACCCGGTCCCTGGAGTCCCCTCAGGGTCGCCCGACTGGGACACCCGAGCGCCGGGCGAGGAGCCTGGAGGCGGAAGCCCTCGACTTACCGGGTCTGGGGCGCCGAGAGAGCGGGTGTGCAGCGGCGTCCGCGCCGGCCGAGCGCAGGGCAGCGACAGCCGAGCCCCGGGGCGGCGCGCTCCGCGGGCCAGTGCAGGCGCGGGGCGGGCGGGGCCTGCCGGAGCCCTGGGCGCCCCGCCCCGTCCCCGCGCGTCCCCGCAGAGCTCCGGCCCCCGGGGCTACCTCGGCCCAGCCCCTGCCCACCCGGGCCCTCGGCACCCTGCGCCCCCGGCCAAGCACCTTGGATCACGCCGGTAGGCACAGGGCTGGCAGAAAGTCCATGTTAGACCTGCCAGCCAGCCGGACAGACAGACTGCCTTCCTGCGGGAGTTTGGGGTTGGCAGGCAAGAGGCTGCTGCCCGGCCGGGAGACCCCCACCCTCGGCCAAGCGCCCGGACAAACACCCCTTCAAACAGCTCCAAACGATAACTTCAAGACGCTCAAAACGCCAGCAGACTCCTTTGGGCTGCAGCCCGCACCTTGGTTGTGGCTGTGCATCTATTCGGTAGAATTTGTTGAGCGCCTACTGGCTGGCTCTCCGGCCCTGAGCTGGGGGTGCGGCTGCGGACCAGACAGGCGGGGTCCCAGCGCGCAGGAGTCAGTCGCGGGAGCCACTCACGCCTTGGCACCCGCGCTCCAAAGTCCTTGGGGCGGTGGGAATGGCCTTTCCCGCCACCAGGGGCAAATCTTGCAATGGCCCAGGTGACCTCTTGGCTAATTTCTCAGCAGCTCCCCACCAGCTTGGGAGGGGAGCGTGAGAAGGGCCGATTCTCAATGACAGTCCCAGGAAAGCTCTGGAGAATAAGGTCCAAGTTTGCGGTTTGCAAGCGGGTAGCAGAGGAAGAAGGTTCCTGACCTGGAGCAAGAAGACATTCTCTAGCGTCACTGCCCCCGCGGTTTTTCTTCGCTCATCACCTCTCCTTGGGCCTCGGCCTCGGTGTTCTTATGGGGAGGACGCGATTGGAGGCTCTCAGAGGGGTCCACTGGGTGTGGCACTCTAGGATTCTTAGCGCTCCTGGCAAAGACGGGCTGGCTTTCTGCACCGTGGATGCCAGTATAAACCCACACAGCCACTTTGGAAAGTCCTAAAGTTTCCATAGCCTTTGTGTAATTCTGCTGTGTGAAACCTGTTTTATAGAGAGGATCTGAACTTTTATAAGCATTATGCATAGAAAAGTTCTTTGTAGATTTACTTACAATAACCAGAATCTAATTGTCTTAAAATAGAAAAATGCTTAAATTATGGTACATGGGATAGAATATTTTTCTACCTGGTGGAATATTATATGCAGTTATTAAGATAATGTCTACAAATATTTTGTAACAACGTGGGGGATGCTTATAATGTTAAATGAAAAATACAAGACCCTAAATTGTACATAGAGGATGCTATGCATTATTTCAAAAGACTGTAAGAAAACATACCACAATGTTAGTATTGTCTGTTAGTGATGGGCTTACATGGCATTTATTTTCTTATTTATACCATTCTGTTTTTCTTTTCCTTTTTTTTTTTTTGCAATAACTCCATATGCTTTAATATTTGGGAAAAAAATACACAAACTTTATCTGAAAATTCCCTGGATGCTCCCTTCTCAAGGACATGCTGGATGTATGCAGTATCTTTTTGCCCACCTCTCCACAAAGGACTCCACCAGAAAGGCAAAATGGATGATGGATTGAAGCAAAAATGTTTGTCCTATCAAATGTATGTGTAGCCCTTTTAGTAACAACTCTTGGACCAGTTAAATATACATGGGGCGCCCAGACCAGCTGCGGGGGTCACCATCACCCCTGTCCCAGGCAGAACAATGCCTGTCCACCTATCACCCAGTTATGGTGAAGACTGTGTAAGGAAGTGTTTTCAAAAAGGTAAAGTGTTATGTGAGTGGTGGTGTTCTAATTTCTCTTCCCGGTTCTCTCCATCCCACATATGATGAGTTATTTTATGATGATGTTACCACTGTTGGTGTTTCCTCTTGCAATGATGAGACACGATTACAAATGAGAACGGGTGGATTCTGTTGCCCTCGGTGAACTTGAAATGGTTTCTTCTCTCTCTCTCTTCCTTCTCCTTCCCCTCCATCGTTCTCACCTCTTCACATCATACAGGTGAGATTGATCCTAAAATAATCATAACAACAACAGAGGCACAGCCCACAAAGCCCTTGGGTCATTTCTCTCTCTTTTTTCTCTCTCTCTGGCTCCTATACCCTTTCCATTTTTCTTTCACTGGGGAAAGAAATGCCTTTCACTGGGGACTGTCCCTTGGGAAAGGGGTGGCAAACGTGGTCCCCTGCTCCTCTCGGTGGATTTATTTTCCTCTTCTGTGAGCTCCCACCTCAGTGCAGGTAACATCCAAAGCCGGAGCTCCAGCCACGTCTCATTCTTTCTTGGGAAAATCTCAAATCTCAACTCACAACTTGGATGCCCTGATTATGCTCCTAACCCTGCTCACACGCTACTGGATAAAGGAAGGCTCTGTCACCAGAACGGACCGATCTTCAGTGTAACCCACCCAAGATGCACATACGGAGTCCAGGATCACGCAGACAGTTCTTTGCTGTTCCCTCTGGCTGCTGTTCAGTTGGTGTCCAGATACCCCTGCATTAGCCTGGAGACATTCCCTGCACTTTGGCCCCCTTCATTGTTGCTTTATGACCCCTCCACCCCATGGCTTCTACTATCCTGATGAGCAACTCTCAGTTCTTACTGAGAAACACCTGTAAGGCAAACAACCTTTCTTTAGTAGCAGCAGAGCATAACCTGGGTGCAGTAGTATGCCAAAATTACAATACTTCCTTCCTACGAGAAGGACAAAGAGGAGGAAGGGCACTGAATTCCTCATCCTGCTCCCCTGGTGACAGGTGAGGAGGTGCAGAGTGACGGAGGACAGCCCCATCCTGCCACCTGGGGTGTCATCCCCCCAGTGCTGTTCACAGCTCCACCAACATCCCACGCAGATGGCCTGACATGTCTGTGTCTTCTCCGATGGCCACTTGGCGCTCTCAAGTCTCTTCTCTCCCCCTTCCTTGGCCAGCATCTCCCATCTGATTCACTTGGTCACAGGAGGTCTGCCTCAGTTTCCTCCCAGGACTCCTCTTTGACTGGGAGTCCTGCACACAAGAGGCGTCCTTCCCAAACCCTGCAGTCTCCTGGCATCTCCTAAAATCCCCCAGAAGATTGCTCCTGCTCTGAAGAGAACCCGCCCACCGCCTGCTCAGGGCCCTGCCGGCCATTCCAGCTCCACGACCTCATTTCCCACGACTCTGCTCCTCCGAGCTTCCAGCCCAGCGGAAGAGGCACTCCATTCCCCGTGCACGACCCACCTCTCCTCATTCCAGACGCTTCTCTAAGGGGTCTGCCCTCTATTTCCAGCTTTACAAACCACAGGTTGATAATCATACTCCAGCTCGGGCCCAGGACTCTTTCCAATCCCAGATCTTCAGCAAAGATCTGAGACTGGGGGACATCGACCAGCTCTGAGCCTCCAGGCAGAGGGTCCATTTGTTTGCTTTAATTTTTAATTAGTTTTTAAGATTAACAAGTTGAGAGCTCTCATACTAAACATCCATATTTCTGGCTTCTCTTACAAAACTCAAGGGATCTAGAAACTTCATGTCCACCTTTGGCAGAACAACAAACGGCAGGAGCTGATGGCATCAGCCCCTTTCCACAAAAATGCAAACTAGAGAGTTTGCCACAGTCCCCACCACATCACATTGCCCCTGCAGGGACATGTAGCAGCCCCACTTACTGAATGTACTGCTGGTTCTGTAGGGATTGAGTTTGTCACTTCTGTTCAAGGCCCTTCCCTTCCAGGACAAACTTTCTGCAAAGCCGCTTATCTGGCCGTTCCTTCACTTTGCAAACCTGAGAACTCATTTCCTCATTAAATTGTTTTGTCCTGGCTAATTTGTAGTGTTACAAGTGCTTTTTGGCTGTGTCAGATGTGTGTTCTGTTTGTCATTCTAGAGTAATGGTTCTTAATTTTTTCAGATTCTTCTTGGGAATCTGAGAAAAGCTATGGTTCCCCCACCCCCGCCCCAAATGCACACATGTGCAACATTTTACCTACAATTCAGCAGGTTGATGGATCCCTGATGTGCTAGGTGATTCGCGGCTGCCACATTAGGAGCTGTTGATTTAGGGCAAAGACGATCTGTTCCATTAAACTCAACTGTGTAGCATGGATTCTGTGGGTCTCTACTCTATACTGTGCTCAAGAAATGCCACTGAATGTTGCCCGACTGGTGGACAGCAAGACTGCACATCAAAATAGTCATTTAAGCTGCCTCTGCCCAGGTCTTGGGGGGCATCTGCACTAATTCTTGGCACCCTCGAGTCACCCAAGGAAGATGATGCTGCTGACTATGGACCCACTGATTCAGGCATCACAGCTGCCCTTGTGTTTGACAAGTAACCACAACCTTCACCTTGCTATGAAAGGAGCACAAATTCAATTAAGAAAGGTTTTCCAAAAGAAGTAACAGCGTTGTTCCCGCCCTCCTCGCCCCGCCCCCCGCCTCTCTCCACCCCTTTTTGTCCTGGAATAATGTTGTGCTGATAGGAACATGGATAAATTAATTACACTCTGGAATGTTATTTATGGCTAGGAAAGAACACTAAATCTACACATACAATGTTTGACATTTGAGCACAAACATTGTCCTTATGTTTTTTTTTAAAAAAAACAATTGGACTAGTTTATGCAGACGTATGTATAAGCCTTTTAAACGCTGTGGATTTAAAATCACACAGGTAACAGTACGCTGGATGTTTTAGCTAAAGAACAAGGCGACAAAGGAATGAGATTAGCATCTCTTCAGTGCCTTGCATGTCTGATATTATTTTGGTGTACCTCCAATTCCTGATAACACAGAAGCACTGTTGTGGCCAAGGTGCCTGAAATGGAAGGACATTGGCAAGCCTGAATTTAAAACCAGTGCAGGCAGCCTTTCTGGGAATGTGTGAGAAGGTCACTTTTTAGAAACAAGACTGTTCACAGCCATTGTCATGGTTTCTGTGTTGTCTCAACCAGGACCTTCAGCCTGAAAGTCTGGAT